TCTCTTCTCACCAGCACACTGAGGCAAGGTAGCAACAGCAGGAGCTCAGAGAAGTAGGGAGAAAGAAAAGACTTCCATACTAAAATTATATGCTTACCGCTTCCATCTTACTACATTAGAGCTTCAATTAAACAGAAGGTCCAAGATATGGAAAATTGGGTTTGCTTATATCTTGAATTGTTTCACGTTGAAAATTTCTAAAATGCACTTAGTCCACTTAGTCATCCTGCCTCCTGCGCTACTAGTGTTTTTAACATAATTTAATCCATCTTAAAAATAATTATTTACTACCCCTAAGAGCTATCATAGTTAAAGACAGTATAAGCACTGAAGCTGAATCTTTCATGTGTGATTTTATTTTTGGTTGCTGTTACTATGTGTGACTTGCTTGTTTGAGTATTCTTGGTATCAACTTGCTTCATGGTTGTTTCTTTTTCTCCCAAAGTAAGGTGCATAATGAAAATTATGTTTCATTAAGAACTTAAGTAAGGGGCTGGGGATTTAGCTCAGCGGCAAAAGCGCCTGCCTGGCAAGTGCAAGGTCGTGAGTTCGGTTCCCGGTACCGGAGAAAAACCAAAAAAAAAAAAAAACAGAACTTAAGTAAATTAACTGGCAACCAGTTTCAATTCTGCTGAATAATATTTTTATTTTAAAGAGAAAAAAATAAAAATAACCATATAATAATTTCAAAACTGGTTAGTAGGAGGCTAACAATAATTAATACATTACATATTATTGTCTTCATAGTAGTTATTCAGAGTACAGGACATAGGCATGATATCTTGTTCAGACAATATTAGCACAAACCTCTCTTTTCATTGGACTAAGAGAAACTAGCCATATAACTATCTTAACTATCTTGTGTATAAATACATATTTTTCTTTTTTCCTTTCTCCCTTTCCCCTTTCTCCCATCACAGTTTGTCTTTTCTTTTGAACAGTTTCTTCCCAATTCACAATATCTACTGTACCTTTTGGATCTTATTTACCTGTTTATTTTCTCACACTAATGAGACAATATGATGTTTGCACATATGGGCCTGATTTATTTCACTGATGAGTATGGTCTCAAGTTGCATCCATCTGACTATAAAAGTCTCCAGTTTATCCTTCTTTATGGACAAGTAGTACTCTGTTATATTAAAAAAAAAACACATTGTTTTTATCATTTCATCAGTTGATGGGCATTTGAGTTGTTTCCAAGATTTAGCTATTACAAATTGTGCTGCTATAAACATGGGTGCACATGTATCTCTGTGGTATGATGTTTTTAATTCTTCTGAGAAGATACCCAGAAGGGGAATAGCTGGGTCAAATGGGACCTCTAATCCTAGATTTCTGAGGAATCTCAACACTGATTTCCACAGTGGTTGCACCAGTCTGCACTCCCACCAACAGTACAGAAGAGTTCCTTTTCCCCCACAGCCTCTCCGGCACTTGTTATAGACTGATTTCTAGATGACAGCAATTCTTATTGGGGTGAATGTAATGTCAGTACTGTTTTAATTTGCATCACTCAAGTGACCAATGATGAACATTTTTTCATTATTCATTGCCATTTGTGTTTCTCCATCTCAGAAGTATGTATTCATCTCAGATGCTCATTTTTGGATTGGGTCTTTGTGCTGAATAATATTTTTAATAATTGCTGTCCATTTCGTACTTGGAAGTAATAGATTCCTTGTTGATCCAGAGCAGGATTCAATTATCTTATTCATATAGCCCTTTTCCATTGCAGTACACTTTGAATAAACATCTATCTGATTGAATTTTGAATTCATCAAGGCAGTAAGCTCTTTTGGTATTCAGTTATTAGGAATCATGGTGACTGTATCCTTGTTTATTGGTAGACAGCAATCAGACATACATTGGGGGCCAGGGATGTAGTTCAGTGGCACAGTGCCTGCTTGGCAAGCAGGAAGTTATAAGTTCGATTCCCGATACAAAAAAAAAAAAAAAAAAAAATTGGGAAAGAAAAAATTAATGCTTAACTATGAAATTTTTTGTTGATATCAGAAAAGTTAAGAACATTAGTTTAGAGTTAGTATTGAAGTTAAGCACAAGCTCTTACTAGCTCTATGAGTTTTGACAAATTACCAAATTTCCATTGGCTTTAATATCCTCATCTATGGAATTGTCTAATAATACATTGGACTATTAGATTGGTGATATGAGATAATACATATAAAGTTCTCAGCACAGTATAAGTATTCAATAAATGTTAATTATATTTTTCATACACATTAGAATTTCCTCCTATCAACCCTGTGAAGTAGGCAAAATTGCTATAAATATGCTATAAGCCATAAATATTCTAATGTAAATATTAGAAAACTAGATCTCATAGAGGTTATTGGTTCATCCAAGGTTACTCAATATGGCAAAACGCTGGTCAGTACAGGAAAGGATTCCGGATTCCTTGGCACCCTCCTGGGCTTGGGCCTCCACCCCGGTCATTCCACCCTGTAGTGCTCTCTCTCCTGTTTCCTTAGATCTAAAGTCGCACCTGCTGACGGGCCTCTCTGCCCCACACTCTCAGATGGACAACAGGAGTGAATCTTGACAGGGTCTTTAAAACCTACACCAATATTACATGGTTCTTTTATGGGAAAATGGTAATGACCATAGCTACAAGGCCAAAAGCTACTCTTTGACAATACAAAACCAAGAATATTAAAAGAGAAGTGAATTCCAAATGGTAAACTTAAGACTCCTGGGAGAAACCTAAGAGATTAGTGCAACAGGTCACAAATGCACAAGGCCAGTTTCACTGATCAAATGCCTACATTTTCAACTGTGTATAGGTTTTTGAAGTATACGCCTATCCACCATTATAAATATAAAATACAAATTCAATTGCAGTCAGCACTCAATTTGTTTTATCATTTTGACATGCTATGTTTCCTCAGTGGATTTGAGAAGTATGAATTCCATCAAGGAGGTGTGGGTCTAAAGTTTTGTTCTGTTATTGTTTTGTTTCATTTTAAAAACAATGTCTACACACTCCCTGAGGGGGAGATACCAGTGGTATTGGGAAGAGAGCTGTGTCTATGAAATCTAACAACCTGAATTTAACTCTACTCCTGCTCATTATAGGCTTAAAGCACCATCAACTCGAGAAGCTCAAGGAAAGTCAATAGATTTTTCCTGAGTGTCTTTAATGGGCTGGAGTCCTTTGCTGGGGCCCCAGGGAGAATAGCACTCTTCAAGCCATTCTTCTTGAGCCACTATTTTCTCACTTACCAAATAAGGGAATAATAAGACCTTTCCTCTCAAGACTATGTGAGCATCCAATGAGAAAAAAGCCAACAATAAATCCACTGTGATGTTTTTGAAAGTGCTTTGTAAACTCTGGAGCATTATAACCGTAGGGTGCTGAAGAAAACTACAAGAAGAGAAGGTTTCAACTCTTTCGGGTGGCTTTCCTTCAACTATTGACCATCCACCCCAGGCACTTACCAAAGATAACAGGATTCTCTTCTCTGATAGCAGGTTACATTCATATTTTTAAATGCACTTTTTCATCTCTTCCTCCTCTCACTGTGCTTTATCTTTTTGATCAATTAATTTCTTTTTATTCCATAAATTGTAACATCCTTTGATGCCAATATAACAATAGCATATCAGGCTCTATGAAACTTAATAAATAAGGCACCAATACAAAATTCAAAGCTAAGAATAGTCCAAAAACTCACAGCTTGTATTTTATAACCAAAGTACACGTGAAACTCATCTGTGAAGGGCATTTCAAGCATTGTCAATTGCATGGGTTGCAGCAGGTGAGGATTTCACCAGGAGTTAGGAAAAGAGGAGAAGACTGTTCCCCATCTCTGTCCTAGGCTAAGGTCCTAGTGCTGTTAGGCCTGGGAGAAAAATGGTTTATGGGACGTGCGCCATTGCACCTGGAATTAATGCTCCTGGAATTGAAACCTTCCCAAATTTGGTTCTTCCAGAAACACACTAGTTCTCTTGTATTTCTCCCCCTCCTTGATTCCAAATAATAGTAACTGGAAAGTGTGGTCTTCTGCTCCTGTCAACAGGTAGGAGCAAAATATTCGCTGAGAGCCTACCTCGTTCCCAACACCACACAAAGCACTAGGGAGAAATGCAGACACTGTAATGTACACAAGCCCTGCTTTGCAGGAGTTGAGAAGGACTAAACCAGCATTTATTGCCAGGCAGCAAGTGTTGCTTTAGATACTCTGACAATGGTATTTTGAAGCAAGTCATTTTCATGTTATAAATGAGGCACCTGAAACTGAGAGAAGTAAATTCCCCGAAATCACACAGGTAGCAAGTGTCTGAACCAGATTTGTCCTAGATATAAAGCCTATACACTTTCCACTCTATTTCATCACTTTCCTTGATTGGGAAGGCAGAACATACACACCAAAAAAGAAAAGGAATATAGTTACTAAAAGAAGTCTACAAATAAATAAGTACTATAAACTCTACAAACTCTCCAGCCATCATAGGTGCAAGGGTAGCTCAGAAGTTAGAGTACCTGGAGCTCAGCTGGCCTGAGAACAGATTCTAATACAGATCACTGACACTGCCTTGGGAAAAGGAGGGTGGCACCAGTCTGAAAACAAATTGACTGCGAACAAGAGAAATGACACTATGAGTGGTTACATCTAAGAACAAAAGCTACAATCCCAACACACCATTTGTCCTTCCAAGTTTGGATGCTTGTCCCTATGGCCCTGGGAAGTATAAAAACTATGAAAACTTTGCAAGTTGCAGTCATCTTCACAAACCAGGTAAATGCCAGAGAACAGTGTATTCATTTGTCAGTGTATTGCCAACCCATTACGCTCAGCACTAATTCAGCAGCCCTTCCCACCTGGTGCTCTCTGAAGTAAGGTGAAAGGGAATCATTTTCTTCTTTGTGGCATCTGGTTTAGGTTCCGTTGACATAACTGGCTAAGAGGATACACAGAGGAAAAGTGAATACACTTGGCAACGTCTTCAAACATTTGTTTGGATTTTCTGTTTTCTAGGAGATGTACGACTAAGGGGTCAGACAGGGGTTCCTGCTGAACGCCGCGGCTCCTACCCATTCATTGACTTCCGCCTCCTTAACAGTGAGTAATCAAGTGTACCTGGAAAGGAACAAACGTTTTCTTCAAAAAGAAAAAACAATCCTCATTTCCCTCTGCACTTCAAAATCTATCGATGTCTGCCTGCCTTCCTCCGTCTCCCAGCTGAACTTGAACCTTTGTCTTCCCGTTTCCTCACTCGTGAAGTAATTCCAGCCCTTGCTTTACCTTTCAGGGCTGTAACAATGGCCCAGTCCTCACTGAACATCGGCTTTAACAATGTAAATCTTAAAAATGCTGAAATATTATACAAGAAAGGTATTATTTTCATTTTTCAGTACATTCCTTCTACCTTCAGCCAGGACTAGACTAGATGAGATTCTACTCTGTTTTTCAGACCACACAGGGAAACCATGTACAGTGGCCCTTAGAAACTCTTCACTACCCAATTTGCCCTTTTTTGTCTAATCTAAGCCCCGGAGCTCTGTGCTTGCATTCCCAGGCAAATTCTTCACCTCCACGAAGTTCTTTTAGTTGCCTGTGTGTTTTCCTCCATTATCATCACCTCAGAAATGCTCTTGTTTCCATTTCTCCTTCCATTACTCTTCTTCATTTGCAGTTTTCCTCACACACTAATTCAGAATTCTCTTAACATTAAGACTCCCTGGAAACCCAAACCAGGGACCAGTCATCCCTCTAGATTTCATTCTTCTCTCATAATCATCCTTTACCTTGGGCTTGTGGTGGGCGGTGGTGGCTGGGGACCATGGATGCATCTCACAGTGCACTCTGAGGGTCTCCGTGTTTGGTTCTCATATCAGTCCCCATCTATAATTTCAAAGTGCTGGACTGCACCCACAGAGTATTATTTTCCTTTGACATAAACAAGCTCAGACCAAGAAGTAATTTGAGTTACCTCCACCCCTGGAAATTACTAGGAGAAATTATAACTTGCTAGTTCTGATCCTGAAGCCTTAAAAGGCCAGTAGGAGATAGATGTGTTTGTGTTTCTCCTGGCTTATTAACCTTGCACATCAATGTTCAGTTTTGGTTTTTTAGCCCTTTCATGATACAGAAGTTTGAAATAACTCCTATAGTAGACACAGTCTCCCCGACACACACAATATCCTTTTTAGAATTCAAAATTGAGCCAGTAGACCAAGGCAATATTGGACACAGCCGGTCAGGGCTCCAGTGGTATCTCTGACCCCTCCTCATGACCCCAAATGGGCTGTTTCAACTGTCTTGGAAACTGCACCTTTCACAGTCTCCACTGGGTGGATTTCCAGGTTCCAGCCAGATGGTCTACCAAGCATGACAGAGATGAACAAAGGACCCAGTTCACTGTTTTATTAAATCATAATTCTCTGATGGCATCAGATTTTGAAAGTCAGAGGGAGAAAATAACCAAAACACCTCTTTTCAATAGCAGATGTTAGCCCAGTATGGTGGCACACATATGCAATCCAAGCACTTGGGAGCCTGAGGCAGGATGCTCACAAGTCCACAGGGAGACCCTGTCTCAAAAGAAAAACAAATAGCCGATGTTATTTTATGGCTTCTAACATAAGCCATTAGCATATTAGGAAAATAAGAGATATCAAGCTTTATAAATCAAGGTTCCAAATGATTCTTTTTTAAAAAATTTAACCTCAGTGCTATTAAGCAACATCATTCTAATTGTGATCTTTGCAGGTGGAAGTATGTAATAGTTAATTGTCTGCATGATACACTTCTGGATGTAAAAAGCACTTGGATTTTTCAAAAATAATTTGCTTCTTTTACTTTCTTAATCTGAGAAAAACTGCAAAAATATATAAAAATTTAAAGAGAAGCTCATTGCAGGTAGTATTTCATTGCCATACCAGTCACCATATGAAATATCATCTATAAGACCCACCATACTGTCACCCCTCCTTGGGGTCCTCCAGGACCTTCTTGGGGCTGGGCTCAGTCCAGCCTCCTTTCCTGGCCACGGAGGCTGCCTACCCTCCTCCCCCATTTCTCCCCACCTGTTGCTGTTCATCCTCCACTCACAGAATGATTGTTGACCCTCCATCCTGAAATTCCCTTTCCATTTTTCTCAGCACTCCATTCTGGATAACTCTTTCACTCATGTCCCTTTATTTATAATCTATGCTAAGACGATACTAATTTACCTTCACTGTATTTTGCTTTCTGAGTAGGCTTTATGTTTTCCCTACGTATGTAAAACATGTCCCTAAATAGGTTGCAAAATCCTAAAGATCAGTCTCTTCATAGTCATTGGTCACTCTGTAGCTATATAGTTAAGTTACCAAGTAGATTAAATGATCTCCATTAAAAGATTACAGTAAATAGTTACTAAGGTAAATTTTCCACTACATTTAACTTGATGGTGCAAACCAGACTGAAAAACTCTGAGATTTTCCTTTTTTTTTTTTTGGTTTTTCTCCGGTACCGGGAACCGAACTCACGACCTTGCGCTTGCCAGGCAGGCACTTTTGCCGCTGAGCTGAGATTTTCCTTTATTTATAAAACTATCCACCATCTTTCTAATGCTTGCATTTACCCTGACAGTGATTTGAAACTAGAAACCATACATCACTATGATCACTCTCCAGTTTCCCTAACTTAGCAATTATAGCAGCTTGTCACCACGTAGCCATAGGTATGTGGATATCTCTGTAAAATACAGTCACATAAGACATATTGTACATATCGTATCTCCTACTATGTTATATGGTCTACCATCTATTTAATTCTCTTTAACCACATTCATGTCCTTGTTGAGACTTGCCTGAATTACTAATGTGTGCTTTCTGCCTAAATAGAAAACATTTGGTGTTGTTCTAAATTTTTCGTTTTTGCCCACTGATTCCAATTCTACACATAAGTGCCGAAGTGATTCTTTATATCACTAATCTTAATTTTTCCATTTTAAAAATAAAAGGAGAAAAACATGAACAGACAGACAACCTTTTACAAAATAGCAGAAGAACAGTACAGACAATACAGAGTTACCAAGTGGTAGGAAATTAACAATGCTTGTTGTATTACGTATTGATATCTTCAAAATGGTTTCTCATGAAAACAGAGACATGCAATATTGATCAATCAAGGACTCATTGACAGTTTCTTTCAGCAAAGAAATAGAAGACAGTAGAACAACTGTGTTAACTATCCTGTATATACATACATACAAAATTTCTCCTTCTTTCCCTTCTCTTTTCCCACATCCCAGTTGCCCTTTACCCTTGAGTGTTTTCCTATCATTTCACAATGTCTATCATACCTCCTAGTTTAAATTAACTCTTTCAGGTTTTACACTAGTGAGACAATGTGGTGCTTGCACAAGCAGGTCTGATTTATTTCACTTATGAGTATGGTCTCTAGTTGTGACCATTTACCTATAAAAGTCTCAAGTTTATCTTTCTTTATAGCTGTGTAATATTCCATTATATAAAAGTACCACAATTTTGTTATCTAGTCCACGGTGGATGGACATTTGGGTTGCTTCCACCATTTAGCAATTACAAATTGTGCTGCTGTGAACATAGGTGCATATATATTGCTGTGATATGATGTTTTTAGATCTTCTGGGAAAATACCCGGAAGGGGGATAGTTGGGTTGAATGGGACCTCTGGACCTAGTTTTCTGAGGAATCTCCAAACTACTAATCTTAATTTTTGAGTCAGTTTCTTCTAAGGATGGATGCAGACGGAAGTCTTCATTTCCTCAAGTATTTGTAGTTTTATTCTCTCGCCCAGGATAGAATACCATCTAGAACTTTTAGAAACAGTATTTATAGAAAAAAGCAAATACAATAGCCTCCAATTCCAAGTTCTGCACTCCTTCAACCTTCCTTCTAAAATGCTTAGTGAAACCCACACAACTGCTATTCCCCATCTACAGTGCCCCTGGCTCTTTCTCTTCCACCAACCACTTCTATCACTGTCTTGAATTACTGGAAAATGTGGAAGCAAAAATGTATATTAAATAATAAGGCCTATTGCATTTCTCCGTTAAACCTATTAGCCATAGTCCTAATCTGTCGCAGCAGACAGGGACAACAGAATTACAACGGTTTTTTGGTGGTTTTTTGTTTTGTTTTGTTTTTTTGGGGTTTTTTTTGTCTTTTTGAGACAGGGTCTCACTCTGCAGTTCAGGCTGGCCTTCGGCTCACTCTGTAGCCCCGGCTGGCCTCAAACTCACAACAATCCTCCTCCTCATCCTCCCGAGAGCTGGGATTACAGGGGTGCGCCACCACACCTGGTGGGTCAACAGAATTAATATCAAAAAAATCTTGTCTTCCCTTAGAACAAAATTTCTAGTATTAAAAGAGATTCTGGAATGGAAGTAGACAGATGACAGCCCATACTCTAAACTTGTCCCCCTATTCCTGCATGTTTGGATAAATGAAGTTTTACTGAAACACCTCTATGCCCCTCTATGTCTGTCTGTCATCTAGGGATGCTTTTTTTTTTTTTTTTTTTTTTTGGTTTTTCTCCGGTACCGGGAACCGAACTCATGACCTTGCGCTTGCCAGGCAGGCACTTTTGCCGCTGAGCTAAATCCCCAGCCCCGGGATGCTTTCATACTACAGTGGCAGAGTAGTCTCCACAGAGACCAAATGGTCAACAAAGTCAGAAATACTACATTGCTATTCATAGAAAAATGTTGCCAACCCCTAAGTCAGACTTTCTTAAGGAGATTTAGAAATGTTTCATGACATGTGCATAGATATATTCAGTTGAATCTATTTTCCTTTCTTAGTGTCATTTTTTCCTTTCACTTCTTAGTACCATTGCTTTACTTTCAAGCATGGATTTAACATTTATCATACATCATATAGAAGTATGAACAGCATCTAGATTTAAAATTCCAAGTTAGAATGATAATTTCCAATTCCACAAGCATTCTTCTGGAAAAGATGTCCCTTTCCACATCTTTTCTAATAAACATTAGAAGAGATCATCATAATAGATCATCCAGCTCAATAGAAATACATGAGACAAACCTACTTTCTAAAAGCCAGTTTTATTTCTTGTTTCTGTGTCACACA